GAATTGCTCTTGACCGTTGTTTTTCTTGTTTTCAACTAACCTCGTATCTTCCAACCTTAATTTCTATTACCGCTAATACTTTTATTATCTTTTCTACTGTGAAACTTGAATCGACGATTCGATCTCTGTGCTAATTTGGTATAACGAGTTCTACGTTGTGGCTGATTGACTGACTGACTGACTCAGTTAGTAAACCTTTGATAGTTGGGAATTCGTGTCACGGAATCCATTTATGAGGAAGTAATATGTTCGGGTGGATGCTAAAAAATCACTTAACTTTACCATCGATGTAATGTCAATATCTACTACTTGTAATTGTTAGCATTTACCGAAACGTATACGTTTTCTATTATTTAAATAACTAATTAATATTAATATTCATCAGCTCAATGAAACCACATAAAATGTGACATAATTTTAAACTAAGATATGTTTTATAATCTGACACTATTTTTTGGCTATTTATTTTAGTTCACTTAACGACGAACTGAATATTTATCAATGTCTTATTCACTCTCATAATTATTTGAAAATTATTTCTCTTTATTTATTTGAGATTGTACTTTATCAACTCCTAGTTACATTTGTTAGATTGTCTTAGTATCATGCTTCTTTCTGTTAGTGGTACTTGTTGTATATCTCTTTCATGTATATATGCAACTGAATTCTTGTTGTTGACTGAGTTGTTGACTCACTTTAACACAGATTCTTCTACTTTTCAGATTCTTACACACAATGCTATTTACAGTTTGATACCGAATAGTCTGAATTCAAACTAGAAGCAAACCTAATAAAATTTGAATGTGAAACTGTTACGTTCGTCACTAGGTACCCTTGAAGCTATTACGAGTTCACCTTAGTCGATAAACGCGAACGAGCCAATGAACCAGCATCCAGTTAGGCTACTGTGATCCCTTGACCAAACTGTACCAGCAAGAAGTGTTAATATAGCAAAGAAAGTGTATTCTACAAACACTCATCCAGCACACAATGAATCCAAGCACTCGAATTGCGTTTATTTATACACCGTAGAGACCTCCTTGGGAGAGTCACAAAAATAGCACACTAAAATGACACCGTAACCAATCATAGCCAAGGATTTTGCTGGTGGGAAATGTGATTTGAAGGTCAACTGATCGGTTCATGAAATAAATCCAAAATAAAGAAATTTAACAAGCGAGTTCTGCGGATCTAACATCCCCAACAGAAACCAAAATACACGAGGACATGTAGCACTGTTATCATAACATACCATTCATTGTTGATTAAGTGGTGATTACTGTTTTTATTGTAAAATTGTTTTGAAACATAATTTAGTCGAATAATTTATCCGTTTTATTTGTCCCTTATTTCATATTTAAAGTTCAAAATTGATAAATTTCGCTAGTGCCGCTTCGAATACACCAGTCCAAACTTTTGTAAATTTCACATCAACTACAAACAACAAATCATAGTGTCATGAAACACTAATTAATTACTATTTCATTACTATATAAACCAACAAAACGAGCAAGTTTCGGAATCGTTTTTTTTGTTGTTGACGAAACTAGTTTTTCTAATGCACACTTTACATAACGGAAGTTTGTATTTTTGTTTCCTCAAAAACTCAACAAAACACTTTCGCTAATGTTTTATTTTTATTTTTTTGAAAGAAAAGTTCAAGTCACATTCACTTTTTGCTCTCTTGCTCTCTTGCTCTCTGTCTCTCTCTCTCGCCGTACATTAAATGAGGTAATATTATTATTATTATTATCTAAAATGAATATGCCATTTTCGTTTACTAATAATACTTCGTCCTAAAAATGACCTTGTTTTCCTTTATTTTTTTCTCCTAAAAGGGAAATCTTTGCAAAAAGACTTTCTTTTTTGTGAATGCTAATTGAATTACATGTCACCTTAATGCATTAACAGTAGTAAGTAAACGGAGGAATAAAAAATAATAAAAAATTGAAATCACTTGACGCTTTTTTTTTCTTGTGCAAATCATTTGTAAGGTCACTAAATCCATTCGTCTAATATTATATTTTATTTAGTAAATGAATTGAAGTTTCGACTAGAATCAGTCGTGAATTTATGATTTCAAATGTGTAAATACACAAACCTCCAAAACTCTGCCCCAAAATATCGTAACAGTGCTCACTAGTGACTAGCTTCGTGAGGAAATTATCGGAGTTCTGGTTGAGAAGACGTGACCAGTGGAGTTCAATCCTGTCGGATGTAGGCAGTAACTACCAAAAACAAATGGGTGAGATGGCGCGAAATCGCTAGATCAATCAGAGTTAGACATTAACACAGTTGGAGGCCGGCCCAGTGGTCTACAGGTTAGGCGTTCGCGCACAATGCTGTGTCCTGGGTTCGAATCCTGCGAAGCGCAGGAGTCATGGATGCGCACTGCTGATGAGTCTCATACAAGGACAAAAAGGTCGGTTTTCAATTTCTAATGGTGGTCTAACAATGATTGATTGATGATTTCAATTGTGTGAATTTATTGTTGTTGTTGTGTTTTTTCTGGCTAGATTAAAAGGTATTTCATCACATTGTGTTACTTCATGCATCCAGAAATCAATGCAATAAGATTTTAACCAAATGAAGAAGGCATTGTGTATTGTGTTTGCTTATCTTGAAGTTGAACTTTCAATCGACAATATTTCAAACATAGAACAGATTTGTATATAATACGCTAAACATTCATCGCTTTAACTATCCGTTTCAGTCGCAAAACACCTTTATAATCGTCTTTCCAACCAACTTCACAAAGTAAGAAAACTAAGACTAAATAAAAAGCTTTATTTCTGGAGACATGAAAAAATATTAATAAAAGTCATGAGAATAACTAATACTGGACTGATCGAGACAGGGTAGCCAGTCAGAATACTAATCGGTTATCGCAATAAGAACACTTACCAGTCGCGACTAAACAACATATGATCTATTTGGCCTATATAATGGGTTATTGTTCTAATATTGTCAATTTCACTCTCGACAAGTCTAAAGCACGTCAGTCACGACTTATTTCTAAAATCACAGCAATTCATCACGAAGCAAATTGTTAAAGAGCAAATAATTATAGTTTGTTGACAGATTTTGTGAAAATCAAGACAAGATATATATGTATATCAGAAACATCTATGTTCTTTGACTCCAACTGTTATTTAAGGTAATACATGCATGCTGCAACATCTATAAACAGTGATATTTTATGTCTGTTTTTAAGCAAAGTTTACAACTTCGTCTACCGAATAGCTTGTTACTGTACTCTGTATTCTAGAAATCTAGCTACTTTTAGGATGAATAATCATCTAAAAATCATGTAGGAATCATACAGAAACCTGTCAGTTATGATTCCGAACTATCACGAACTATTACGAAAAGCTAACATTCTCTTTATGTTAAACACAATCGGATGCATTCAGTTCAGTTATTGATTATTTCTCTATTTACTGTCGACAATTATTACAATTACTTTGAGTAGAATATTTATTGTATGATAGTGAATACCTGATGTTAAAAATTTATGTACATACTTATGTAGTGCTAAAACAGTCTAATTTATGTTTGTTATAGAAAGTATGCAAACTTGAATAAACTTCGTTTTACATAACAAAATTCATATACAGACTGAATAATGAAGTTATTTGGATTACAAGGTCCATAATTCAACACTGTCTCTTATAGCATAGATTAGATACTGAGAGATTTCTTTCACAAGAATGACGAAATGATTATGTTGACTGTTGTTCATCCCATTGTGGTTTTTACGTACCTCACACACAGATAAAAGCTTCAGTATTTTAAAACAAAACATAACAAATTGCTCATATTTGTTTTAGTTGTCACGATTTTAAAATTAATCTATATGCAAACTGATGACATAATCAAACTCAAACGTTTCACAGCTTGATGCACCGCTTCAAAGGAATTTTCAAGATGTACACGTTTTGGTAAGTTACGAAGTCGTTGAAAACAACCTACGCATCTAAAATAGACAAATCTTTAAAAAAATTGTACATAGTTCTAATTTGAATAAAGGGTGAACAGATCTTTGTGTATAATTCGTTTTTATGAAAATTAAAATATCAGTATGTACTTTTTATCACTTAAATTATTGTTATCTAATAATCAAAGTATTAGATTTTCACCAATGTCACATTTTGAAAAAAAAGTAAACTGATACATACATTTGACATTTTGGATTGTATGACATTTCTTGTTTGATAATTTTTATAGCTCATGATATAAATTGGAATTTGTATACATGTATATATATACTGTAAAATGTAAACTTTGGATAAATACAATCGTCACTGTTCATGTTTTTATATTATTAGCCTGGGTTTTTATTTTTGTTGGCAGTTCGACACATAATATAAGACAAAATGTTCATGGATTTTGTTGATTAGTGAAGGGAAACAGAATCTCTGTAAGTTTTTAGATTTTCAGTATCTTTCGACACTACATCCTACATTGCATGATGTGACTTCTAAATAAACTCTAAAATATGATTTAGTTTACATAGAAATTTCTCCAGTTATCATTTAGTATTCATTTTATTTGTGCAAATATTTCACATCACATGAGATTACCTATGGTTATGAAGCGCTTATTAAAAAAAACAACATATTTTTACCTCAACGTTGGGCTTATAACAGAAATCAGTCTATTGATTTAAATGCGTGATAAAAGGCACTCATGTTCCCGGTTGAACAAATGCTTTCATACATTATTGAACTTGCTCTTTTCTATACTGTTTGATTGTCACCTGAGTGTATTTATTCGGAGCATACAGTTCCTGAACAAATAAGGATATTTCACCTTCGAATTCTTTTGATTTCACTTGATTTTAGCATTTGAGTAAGGCAAAATCACACATCAGTTAGGTAGCATGGACAATGGTTTATTGTATGAACATACTTACATATTTTTATGCTTAATTCTAAGATGAAGAGTTACCTACTGACGTTAGTGGAATCCTGACAAAAATGTTTTATACACAAAGAACAAGCAGTTCAAAAATCAAAGTTCACTTTGGACTCATCATTTTCTTCAACCGAAGGTTTAGTTATCAGTGAAAATTTGACCGAAATAAAAATCTTATCATAGCAGACTATGGTTGTCGAAGACCATACACACCTGAACTCTGCACCTCTGCAATTTGGAATAAAATCATCATCCATTTTGGAGGAAATATGATTTTTTTTTAATTTCAAAAATACAGTTGTAAAACAATCACAAACGTGTACATGAAAAATACTAAGCACAATTTAAGCTTGAAAGCATCATTTTATTTACAATTATGTATAGATTTAAGTGATATTTTTAATTATCTTAATGATAAGATAGTGTATTAAGTGTATTCCAAATTGCTGGCAAATTTCATAATCTCTTCATGCATAAATTGTTCGCTAACGTTGATATCGGCTGAGAATAAATAAATCTCTCTGTTTGAAGTTTGTATGAGATTGCGAAAGTAAATACTAAGTAGTTGAATGGTAAAGAATGCAGATGAACAAACCATAATTGCTCCGATGCTAAGTAGGGTAAGGTTATAATTTTCGCCAACCTTGTATGAACGTATACATACAAACATACATACACATATAGATAATCACGTGAACAAATATACTTTTCCTTCATCAAGCAAATCGATTAATGAATATTACAGGAAACATTAATCTGTATATATATACATAGGCGAATTAAACCAACCTAAAAGTGAATTGAAATATCTGTGATTAAAATTACATTTAAGAATTGTCATCATTGAAATAAACAATTTTTAAAAAAGAATACATTATTGAATAAATTTTCAAATTAATGATTTTAGCCTATAGATAATTTATTAGGTGTAAGTTGATATCGATTTTTTTCCAGTTAAATAGTTCAATTCCGATTTTTGTGAAAATATTCATCTAACTCTTGGCTAATTTTATTCTATATGTATGTATGTGTATGGAGAGATTCTTTTGAATATTATTTCATAAGTAAACAGCCTTTTTTTCTAAAAAAAAACCATTATTTTTTAATCTTGTACTCATCATTCCTACAACAAATTTCGAATTCGACTTGCAAATCACATTTACTGAAAATAACTGTTCATACTGAAGAGGAATTGAATATTTTCAATTTTCGTTTTGGTAGGAGATGCAGAAAACTATATTACTGTAAATTGATTTGTGAATATTCAATATTTGTTAGTAATTCGTGATTATATTTTCCACAAACTGTACTAGTAATTTATGCTGTAAATAGTTTTGCACAAAATCTAATGGTTTAGTACACTTTTTTGAAAAAAAAATAATTTATTAGATTGTCTGGTTTTATTCATCATGTATTTGAAACTATGAATGTGAAAGTAGGACTACAGTTATCTGACTAAATTCTGGTTAAATCAATTCCCGTTTCATCGTTGTTAACTAGACTCTGATTTATTCAAAATAATAATTTGTGATTTTAAACTACGTTTCCTCTGTTTAACAAGACGATTATGTGTATTTTCATACAGAACACACTATTACAGTCATAAATTATGGAAAAGTAGATTGGATAAAAACAAAGCTGTAAATCACATATTTGTTTACTGGTAATATTGACCTTTGAATATATTTTTAAAATAGCTTTCAGTCGTTAATAATTTAAACAAAAATTTTCAAGAGATTTCACTACAGATTTAAGCCAATGAAAAAATAACACTTTTTTCCAAGTTTTTTTTCGTTCTAAATTCAAAATATGAAAAGCACAAGTCTGTTTGTCCCATGATGCACTGAAATTACTCTTTAAACTACATGCAAAGATTTTTACTTTGGTTGTTAACTTTACTGGAAGCAGTATCTGCCTGTTTAAGTGAGGCTTTCATCTAGTTTATGGCGATGCAAACTCAGTGATTAGTAGATCATCTAATATCACGAAAACGCTTGATCAAAGGGATTATTACATTTATGTTCCTTTGCATATTGACATTACAGTGTTCTTTCGTTGACACTTTGATATACCGCTGAACAGTATGAAAGTTATATGAAGTCGATGGTGTAAATTGATATTCTTGTTAATACATGCATCTTTTATCATAAACAGTATGAACTAAGATAGTGACAGAATTTTGATTTTGAAAATTTTCTTACGCTTTCACTAGTAAAGGATATTAACAGTCCTGGATTACTTCTAGTATTGATCTAGGTGGCCTGTGTTATAAAATTCCACTCACATTTTGTTTCTAAATAGACAAAGTAAAATCAATGTTTTATTGTACTAGGAATTTCTTAGTTTTTATTATAATTGCCGATAAATCATTTAAATATGTGCTCGAATTAAAAAAAGAACAATCAATGTCTTGTCTATTTTATTGTACAAGGAGATCAAAAATAATAAGAAATGTAATTTGAATAAAAAAAAAGAAATTCAACCTACATTTCCTACATCGTGTTTAAATGTTTTTGGTTTTATGAAGAATTTACTCATTTTACTTCTTTGAAATTGTATTATTGAATATTATTGAATAATTCCGTCATTTTTGATAAAAATTCAGACGAAGTTGTTTGTTGTTTTTTTTGGTTTATTGTGTTCCTTCGAAATAGTTTGCATGTGTATCATAGGAATAGTTTAAATTTGTCTCATCTGTCAAATTCATCATTTTCATGGATTGGCGTGAAGGAATATAAATTTGAATCTTTTGATTATCGAGTAAATCATTATGTCCATTATTCATGGCAATTGAATTCATATTCTCATGATGACTTTTATTATTATTATTATTGCTAATATTATGATTATTGTAATGATCATTATTATAACCCCAATATTCTGATGATACATTGAGATTGGAACATTTATCAAGCATGCAATTTGGATTTGATGGTGACAATGCTATTCCATTAGGATAATTTGCTGATTTCAAACTGGTTTGACCACCGATACTAGTAAGCTGTGATAAGCAGTCAGGTAGTGAATGAATAACTAAAGTGTGTTTAAGTGAAAAGAAGTAAAATTCGAAAAAAAATTTAGAAATATTTAAATATTTAAATTCTAAATCAAAAGTAAGTAATTACTAAGAGAGGTATCATCTTTGTTTTCGGTTTAGTCAACTTTTGTTAATACTCACTTCATATATTCTTGTGCAGTAGTAAATTTTAAAGTAAATCTACATACATATATATTTTAAAGTTTTGCAGTGGACTCTTCGAAGGTTTAAATAGTATACCCTTTTGTTTCTTGATCAATATATTCCTTTTGAGTCTGTATATGTTATTTTAACCATGTATTTGTATTAACGTAAAAGCTTTCAAATCGTAAATCATGTTATCTTCATGATGTACTAACTTGACTAATATGCATGTGGGCGATACATCGAACAGAAAATAGTGATAAAAGAGTTGGTAGCTTTGTATTTATAAAATGATGTATCCTTGTGTGTAGTCTCGCTTACCTACTCCTGTTACCCCTAATCGAGTATAGGACACCAAACAGTATTATCCAATCCAATCTGTCCAGGACTTTTTTTAACAGTTACATGCAATTAGTGCCCATTCTTCGCATGTCTGTCTCCGTTTCTCGGCATAGTGTGCTCCTTGGCCTTCCTCTTTTCTTTTGGACTTGATTCCAAATGAGGGATTGTCTTGTGACGCAGTTCGGTGCTTTCCTCAATGTATGTCTAATTCACTTTCATTGCTTCTTCCTGATTTCCTCCTCCACTGGAATCTGGTTTGTTCTCTCCCACAGTAAGTTGTCGCTGATACTGTCTGGTCAACGAATCCGAAATATTTTGCGAAGACAACTGTTCATAAATACTTGTTTCTTCTGGATGATGGCCTTGGTGGTTCTCCAAGTCTTCACCCCAAACATTTGTTTTGAGTTGCAGATGTCCAGCAATTGTAGGAACGCTGTCATTACTTTGCCGTGCTTCCTCCCAGAACTTGGCGTCTTCATAGTTCAGTCGACCGCCAGGATGAAAAGAAAGAGCGGGAGTGAGTAACCTTGTCTGACAATGGTTTTGACTGGGAACGAGTCTATGAGCTGTCCTCCATGAGAGATTTGCAGTTCAGTTCCGTATGATAATGACTATCTTTCATATTTGGTCCACATATAGACAGTTAGTCGTTAATCATTAATTAGAAACTAAATACAAAAATTCATCTACCAATATTTATGTATCTAATTCCATAATAATTTTAGAAAAAATTTCGATATTAGACAGAATTTGAGGAAAGTTAGGATAACAATCAAGACAGTACAATCTGAAATTACCATATGACTACGAAATAGAATGAATTCATTTTAATTTTAAACCTCAATTGTTATTGTGACTTTAATTACATTCATAATTGGGAACCGAATGCATGGAATATCATTATACTCATCAAAACAAATATAAATTGTTTTATGAAAAAATATTTAAGATGTTCACTTCATCTTTGCAAAGAATCTAAAAACATGTTCGGAACAATCATTTTAGAATCTTTCAACTAACAATATTTTATGCGTCTATTATTCTACATGCATATGTGAATGTATAAATAGAGTTCAACACCATCTAATCAATTCAACTACCTTATATCACAAGAAAGTATTATGTTTATCGAGTGATATAATCAAATAAACCATTGGAAATTAAAAACAATTGAACATTATTCTCACTGCGCATTTGTTTTACTAGTAAAAAACATCCACAAACGCCAGTCAATGAAAATATCATTAAAAACTTAATTAACATTACCTCGATAACCATTTGCCAGTCCAGAAACATCATAATTCAATGATTGATCTATTTTTGACCAATTCGATGGTGAATTTGTCATATACACTGTACATTGATTACTTGTATTATTATTATTATTATCTATGTTATTATTATTTCTATCAAGATATGTATTATTTCTTTTGGTACGACGTAAAAAAATCAATACTAACACGATAAGAATCGTTGATATAATACAAGCAGATACAATAATTGCTATAACAATATAAAAATTTAATTTATAACCACTTGAAGCAAATGTACTAAATCCATTCACATTATTTGTATGATACAAATTCATGGAAGAAAGATATGCTTTTGAAGTGGAATCATCAATTTCTATGATGAAATCAGTTTGAGTAAAATAATACGATTGTCCACAATCTCTTGCTTCTATTCGTAAATTATGTTCACCTATTGCACTGTAGGGAATTTCTTCATTGATACTTAATATTCCAGTATTTTTATTCAATGCAAAATAATTGTTTTCATTTCCAGAATGTATGAAATAGTTGACTGTACCATTTTCACCTGCATCATCATCAATAGCTTGTATCTGAAATAAGGTAAATGTTCAATTGTAAATCAGTGAACTATCAGAAGAGTTAACATGTACATAAGTGTTGAATTAATTAAATTGAAATGCTTACAATTAACAAAATAGTTTTATGCGGAAATATTGTCATTAACTGTAGAAAGATAAGGGGTATTTAACATTGATCATTGTTTTTCTTTGAATAAGTAATTTGAATCATGCTTTAGTGTTGTGTTTTCGTAATTTATTACAAGAGCTGTTAACGCTTTCAGCTTTGAGCATAGTTTAATAAATTATTAGATTCGTTACACAGTAATTAGTCAGTACTTTAAGTTTACAAGAGGCCAGTCGCAAACATAATAGGTCAGTATTAATATCTTAGATTTAAAGCCTAGAGGCGTCAATTCAAATTCCACAGGAACTTGAAATTTTCTGAAGACTGGATGAATGCCAACTAGAACAAAACACGGAGATGGAGCATTTTGTAGACTACTTTTAGCTATCCAACATTAGAATATATATTTGTAATGAAATAAACATATTTTATGATGTAACTTAAACAGTTGGCCTTTAAAACTAATTGTCTTTCATTGGATATTGGACAGAAATGAAACTTATGGTTAATAAACTCATTACCTATGAAAACATAATTAAAATTAAAAACTAATGTTTTTTAATAATTTGCTGGCTAGTGAACTACCAGATCTTCAGTAATAAATTAGTAATCATGGTGAAATTCAAAAGTACAAAGAATTATTTGAACTCCGAACTAATACATCTATCGTCAAGTCTCGTTATGAAGATCAACACTAGAGTAAAGACGAGTTCCGAATCGGAAAAAATGGGTATTTTGAATTCCACCGCTTGAGTTGCAAGCCATATATCTCATATTTTTGGTAAAATTTTGTTTTAGTAAAGCTATTAAAAAGCATGATGTGAGCTATTAGGGTGATTCATACATTTTTTTAATAATGAACAACATATTCCCTACAGTCATTTAATGTAATGTTGGTTTAAACGTGGCGCACACTACATTGCGTAAAAAGTTATAGAAAGATAAAATTAAATTATTCACTACTTTAAGATGTAATTTGTTGTTTTTAACTTTAAATACGTAAACATGCGAAAATAAAGTTGATCGACATAAATTATAAAGTTATACTCAAAAATTAGTATTTGAAAAGGATTTGAGTTACCGAAAGAGGTTTTTTAATGCACAAAAGATGACTAAATAATCAAATCCTCAAACTTTTCAATGACTTCTAAATTGAATAATTATATAATTTACTTTGAATTTGGGCATGATAATGTAACAATTACCAATTATTTTCATTGTTTTCTACCTGTTTCTTTTATACCTGTACGACCCCCATACACAGGAATTACTGTTGCTCAGATCAAAGATGGAGCAACCGTTGAATCGATACAGTAAGAGTTATATATATATATATTCATACATGTCAATATTTGTTTAGAGCCATGATGAAAATAAGGATGTAAGGAAATTTACTTACGCTGCCTATTTTTATTTCCAATACTTCATTTAAGTGTCTTCTGTATGTACGTACAACAATATCTATTCTAGTTGAAAATTAACGACGTAATCTGGCCTAATCTGTTATAGTTCACTTTTATGGTGAAGTGAAATTCACAAAATGTATAGTATACTAGAATTTAATAATGAAATATCAGTGATAACGATTACAGTCACATTTGAAGTAGGCTATATGATGGCATGGTAGGAAGGTTAACATGAAAGAATCCGGGAATTTAAAGTACAGAGGCGGATAAAGCGTGGAAACATTCACATTAGAGAATCATGTCACTAAAAGTCTCCTACTACTGTTCTCAACCGAAATTTCTGCAATAAATTACAAAATTAGGACATTTCCAAATGAGTTCTGGAGATTTAACGTCCCCAACAAGGACCCTAATTAGATAGTCTGCCTTTGCTTTCATGGACTAGTGTCGTAGATTGTGAGACTAGCAATATTACTCCACATTCTGTGCCATTTTATGAGTTATTACATACTATCACAAAAAATATGTTAGTACATCTGGCAAATAATGTTGTTTTACATCGTTTTTCTTATTTCCCAATATATTTAAAACAAGCAGGAGCTGTTCTAACATTATCTGCAAAAATTTGTTAAATAAAAATAATAAATTAGGTAGATAAATATCATGCTATTCTGTTGTTTATTCAACGACTCCGGGATAAAGTTAAATTTAGATTTTTCAAATACAACTTGACCTTAAATTTACTATGCCAACAGAATGTTTCGAGAGTTTACCATCTTAACATTAATTCAAGTATCATCAATCTAAAGTGGCGTAGCAAATATACAAATTGTATAAAGTACTTCTTTTTCCCAGTAAGATACTTATCAGTACAGTAAGAAAGAAAGAGTTTTTTTCTTCTAAAACTTCTGTATAATTTTCACAAAAGCTTGCTACTTACTTATCGTGAAAAAATTTTCTGATTGCAAGAATATAGTGGAGAAATACGAAAATATCACTTTACCAACTGAGAAGAAGTAGTTAACTAAGGTTGTTAAAGTCAAGTGTTATGGTATCAGGGTTTGGCGAATGCTTTGATTGATGCAATAGACTTTCTTATAAAAAGTAGGATCTTTAGCATATTTCACTTCAGTTTTCAGTTATATCACTAGGATTACATGTCCTGTTGATACGTTTTAATATGCAACAAAACTATTTTGATTCGAAATGTTCTACAGAAGAAGTTTCAACTTGATTGCTTGTAGAAAATATAGGTAGCATGATAATCAAGAGATGAGTACAATTTCCAAACTAAACACTTTCTTAACATCTTTCCTAAATTGTATAAGATTTTAAGATCATCAATGTTAGAAAAACATATGATGACGAAATATGAATTACTAATAGTTCCGACTTTAAAACTATAATTTTTGAGAGGTCTTGGATGCTCGGGGTTTGACAGTGCTCTTATCCTATGCGATAATCCTAGAGTCAATAAAAGCAGAAGTCTCTAGTGGTGACACTTGTATTTATATTCGGACTGAAGGTTAATTAATATGACGTGACTGACTAGTTATGGTAGGAGATCTGCAGTAAGGTATACCTGAGTGTGATCTGACGAGAATGCAAAACCATGGTCTCTCAGTAAGGAGTGCGTACAGTAAAACTAACAAGATTATCATTAATTTCTAAAGATTTTCAATTTTATTGTAATAAAATCGCTAAGCATATCTATATTTATCTGGTAAAAAAATCTGTGTGAATAAAAATTTAAAAAGTGAAGTCCACATAAAAATCAGTATTTACGGAACAACCATCTACAAATTTTAAGTACAACAATACAAATGATTTCAATTGGAGTTATGGAGATAGTGTTTTTACACATTTGAAATCCTCAATCAATCATTGTTAGACCACCATTATAAACCTGGACGGCCATTCCATCCAGGTATAGGACTCATTAGTGGCAGTGGGCATCCACGACTCCTGCACCTCGAAGGATTGGAACCCGGGACCTCCAACCATGCGCGCGAACGCCCAACCTCTGGACCGCCGGGCCGGCTTATACTTGCACGTGAACATTATTATTATTATTACTCAACGTTGAAGAAAAAACAGAAAACCATGTTCATCAGTCGCAAAACACATTAATTTAGACAGGGCATAAGAATGAAATCAAGACAGAATTCAAATCATTATATAGAAATGTTGAAGGACGAATTTTGAAGTTTATAGAAGCTCTGGATGTTCGTAAATTAAAACCCCACTAAAGTATACAGAAACAATTAGTCGTAACCTTGACTTTACCCTGGTTATCTCTAAGCCTAAAGTTTTGTGCTAATTTCCTACCCTTTCTTGGTCACTCTATAATACGTTAATTTTCTCTCTCCTTTATTTACAATTATCACCTTACATCTATTTGAACTTTTATTTAATTGACCTTTTATTATTATTCATATAAAATACCTTGACAAGTAGTATATGTGTGACCAGATATTTCGAAATGTATCGCGCAAATACATCACATTGTTCAGATTAAATACGTCTATCAAAATTCATAAAAGGGACTATTTATTTCCTGATTAACTGCCACCATCAAACTCTGCTTATAATACAGTTGATAAAAAACTTATTATTGCTTACGTAACCATTTGTGTATTTTAGTCTTGTTTAAATTCATTAAAAAAAGAAATTTAACAATGAATTTCAAGGTGTACAATGTAGTAATCATACAAAGTTACAAAAAAGAATGTTTAATGCATTCTCCATTGCTATCAACAATATGTTAGATAATAATCATTATTTCATTTAACTTTGGTGATTGTTTTGAAACATACGTCAAAACATGAAAAAAAACACCTTGAGTTATTAGATTATCATTTATTTTAATAAGTTTAACATTCTATGTATACTGATGAAAAACAAAAACTAAATTAAAAAGGAAATTAATAAAACTAGTAATAATTTATTTGATAATGAAATTGACTATTGAATATGAGGGAAAAAAAACACATTGATAAGAGTAGATTAGAGAGAATTGATATACATTTTTCTAGGTGTCATTTTTTTTAATTTATCAAAATCTTTAATCAGAACATATGGGAGTTGGAAGAAAAATTTGTTACATGCACGAAAACATTAAAATGATGTGAAATATTTGGGAATTCCCGGAGTTCTAATGAGAAAGCGCCACCGGTTGAGGTGAGCCGTATCGAATGTAGGTAGTAACTACCGCAGATGATGGGTAAGGTTGAGCACAATCCTTCGACTGATCTTTGGTAGGTATTAACGCCCTTGGATGCCGGCTCAATCGTCTAGAAGTTCGAGCGTCCGAGTGCAAGACCAAAGGCTCTGAGTTCTAATCCTGCGTGTAGCTGGAGTCGTGGATAGTACTGCTGATTAGTCTCATAACAGGATAAAACGGTTATCCAGTGCTCTAGGTTTCTAATGATGATCTAACAATTATACATTCATCATTTTAATGGGAAACAATGATCTTTACAATACTATAGTGAAAAAAT